CCAGCTGCCCCTCTTCTGATCCAGCTCTCTGCGATGGTCTGGGATAGCAGCAGAAGATGGTCCAAGTGCTTCGACACCTGCACCCCCGTGGGAGACCCAGAAGAAGCTCCTGGCTCCTGGCTTTGGATTGGCCCAGCTCTGGATGCCCCAGCCATTCGGGGTGTGAACCAGCAGATGGAAGACCTTGCTCTATGTCTCTCCCTCTCTTTGTAACTCCACTGCTCAAATAAATAAATAAATAAAATCTTAAAAAAGAAAAAGATAAGGGTTTTGAGACCATCAGTGCTCCCTGCAGTAATTCTCGGATGAGCCGGGCCCTTGCCCGAGCTACTCCCTCGGTTTGCAATGTTCTTTCTGCTTCCTCTGATGAACTCCTGCTCACCCTTGGTGCTCAACACAGCATCAATTCCTCGGAGAAGCCCTCCCGGGTTCCTCTCCTCGGCCAGACCCAGTGACAGGGGTTCTCCCCACAGGGCCATCGTAACTTCACCCTCAGGATGGATGATGTGCAGGTAGCATCTGCTCCTCCCCCAGACACAAGCTCCACAGGGCAGCAATGCTGTCTGGTTTTGCTCGCTGTAGCCACTGCCTAGCTCTTGCAGGCAGTCAGCAAATGTCTGCATGAACCTGAGGGGCAGACAGAGCCGGGGTGGTGGCAGCAGGCAGGGGAGGGCAGAGGAGAGCGCCTTCTAACCCGAATGCAGAGTGCAGACATCTGGGCCCAGGGCCTCTCCCGCTGCCCTGCACACACAGAACACTTGGGGATCTAAGTAAAGAGAGGACTCTAGGGTGGGCATTGTGGCACAGCGGGTTAAGCTGCAGCTTGGAGTGCCTGCTCTTCCGCTTCCAACCCAGCTTCCTGCTAATGCATCCTGGGAGGTAGCAGATGATGGCTCAGGTAACTGAGTCCCTGCTGCCCTTGTGGAAGACCCAGATGGAGTTTCTGGGCTCCTGTCTTCGGCCTGGCCCAGTCCTGCCTATTGCGGACATTTAGGGGGAGTGCATCAGTGAATGCAAGATCTCTCTTTTTCTCTCTGCTGTTCTGTCGTTAAAATAAATAAATTAAAAAATATATTTAACATGCAGACTCTGATTCCAGTAGGTATAGGCGGGGCCCAAGCATGCATCTCTCCTGTCGCAGGTGATGCCCAAGGGTAAGGGGTCCCCTCCCCAACCCCCGAGCAGGTCTGGAAAAAGCAGCACCAAACGTCAGGGCAGGTCCAGAGATACAGACCTGGGAATCGGATCAAGGCGCAGTGAGTCAGCTTTGGAGGGGAAGAGGACAAAGCCTATGGGAAGCGGGAGGATCAAGCCTCGGGCAAGCTGCAGGAGGAGCCCACATGGAGACAGAGACGCAGGCTGGAGGAAAGCACCCCCAGGAAGAGAGGGGCCACCGGTCTTTATCACATGGAAGGAGCTCCAGCTACACCTGCATTCTTCCACAGACAGGAACACAAAGTCCTGGGACCCGCAGCCCGAGCAAGCACGGCCTCTGAGACAGCGCCGCCGCCGCCGCCCCCGCCCCCGCCCCCACCCTGCCCTTTGCAAGGGAAATGTCAGCGGGAGCAGGGCGGCGTTTCTGAGTAATATCAGAAGTTATCACAGGACAACAAATGTGTTCCATATGCTCCCACCACAGTGAGGTAAAAATGCTGATTTTATTGTTTTGTTCTTGTTGGGGACTCTTGGGTAAGTTAACTTTTTTACTTTTAAAGATATAATAAAGGGGTCGGCACTGCTGCGTAGTGGGTAAAGGCGCCGCTTGCAGTGCTGGCATCTCATATGGGCACAAGTTCCAGTCCTGGCTGCTTCACTTCCGATCCAGCTCTCTGCTGTGGCCTAGGAAAGCAATAGAAGATGGCCCAAGTCCTTGGGCCACTGTACTCACATGGGAGACCTGGAAGAAGCTCCAGGCTCCTGGCTTCGGATCAGCGCAGCTCCAGCCATTGTGGCCATTTGGAGAGTGAACCAATAGATGGAAGACTCTCTTTTCTCTCTCTGCCTCTCCATAACTCTGCCTTTTGAATAAATAAATAAATCTTTAAGAAAAGAAAGATACAATAGAAAAGACACATTCCAAGTGAGGCTGTGGTGGGCGAAGCACCCCAGAGCACCTGGGCAGGTGCGCAAAGCCCTGCCTGTCCTGGTCTGGTGGTGAGATAGTGTTCTGGGGTGTGGCCCATGAGGGTACTGCCTTTGGGAAGCCCTCAGAGGCAGGCCAAGCAGTCAGGGGCTGGAAGGGTGGGCTCTTCAGTGGCCGGACTTGGCACCAGGCTCTATGGAATCTGAGCCACTCCCTGCAGCGGGGTCTTGTGGGAGGCAGGTGGGCATCCTGCAGAGTAGCCCAAACCCAGACAACCACACGCAGATATTGGCCAGAAAAGAAAACCAAACGGGATTTACAACAGGTGCTGCAGTAGGATGGTCACATGGGCGGACGCTCCAAGTGCAGGTACAGACATCTAAACTGCTCTTCAGCGGGGCTGCGGCTCACGGCCAACACCATTGTGGGCCTGGGCCCTGGGGTTGGGAGTAATGCATTTATGGAATTAACGCTGGTTAATGAAGCCCCCAGCCCGGTCAGTAGCCCAGGAGACAGGCAACCAGCGTTTCCCTCTGCACAGCCACCTGGGACTGTTACACACAGGGCTTGGCAGCAACGTGCACGGAGCGTGCTTCAACCTCTGCTCCAAGGGCCAGCCTCAACACGCGCAACCACATCACCGAGCCAGGCTGTGTTCCCACACGGCCTCCAAGCCCGAAATGAAACGCTCACCTGAATGCTGACTGCTCTGCTTCCTGTGCCACGGCGGCCAGCAGGGAGCTCGGGGTTTCTATGGCTTCCTCTATGAGCCTCTTGGCCCCAGTGGCAGCAGGCTGGCCCTTGCGGCCACAAGGATCATGGTCATAGCCAATGCCTTTCACGGCACTGGAGCCGAGCCTGTTCTCTGCATCACTTCAAAAACCCAACAGTTGCGGCCTTAGCGGGTTCAACGGAGCCCCTACTGTGAATACCGCTTCTCTGAAACCCCAGATTACACTTGGAAGGATGCAGTCGAGAAAGAGGCAGCATCACACTCT